TTACTTCTTTAAATAATTATTATTTCCAGTTAACTTGATGGCAATTTAAAATATGTACTTCTTTTGTTAAAATATAAAACCAAATACATTTATAAGAAGTTGTGCTTATTTCTTTAGTCACACTTGAGTGGTGTGTTGAAATTTAATTAGTATTCTTACTTTCTTACTATACAACACTTACTTCGTTATTTAAGAATTTCACAGCAGGTTTTTGCGTGCAACCTTATTATATGAGTATCCTGGTGGGAAAATATAGGTACATTAACTTTTCGTGTTTTGACATTATAGTTATCTTATCACAGGTATAGTGAGCATAATCTAACAATGGTTTCCTAATCGTATCATACATAGAACATTCCATTATACCATTCATTTTCAATACCATCTAGACAAAGTCGATATATCCTTTCCTGAAATATGTCATCGGAGTACTTTACTCCTTCGTTTAATGTATCTTGTGGCAATTTTGATCTGAGAATCATTAAATTAGATAAAAGCTGTTTCGTTAGTTTCTATTATCTATAATGATTTACACTTATTTATTTTTAATAAAGGAAATGTATGAAATCTTTAACTGATACATACGTCCTGATAGCCATGTGGTACATATGGTAGCAAAGCAATCGCGAAGTTGCAAGCTTTAATCCTCAACAAACTATTCTGTTTCAAATTTCTGTAACTATTTTTTTAATTATTTGCAGCATAAGTGAATGAATCATTTCTTTAATTTCTGGTGTGTCTTTTTTAAAAAGCTTTGAATTATAGATGATTTTGAATTTTTCATAATTTCAAATTGAATAGTCGTACAATGGTCGAATGGCATGCACACAAACTTAGTAGACAATTGCAAAATATAATAAAAACATAATGTTTCATTAAGATTCGAACCTTCAATTTGGAACTAAAAGTGTTAACTCCTTATCATTTGTGCTAGATGGGTCGGTAACTTTAATTTATGCATAAACCGTGTAAACTTTTATGCCATACTTTTAAATCCGTATGATTTACTTCGGAATCCGATAATTTCTGACAAAAGACCATTAAATATTAAAATGTCTCAGGTGAATATTGCCAAACAATATATAATCAAATTACTAATTAAAGTCGTGATAAAATCAAACAATACAAATTGATTCGTTGGTTAACTTAATAAACCATGTTTTATGGATGCCATTTATTTGGTGGATTACAATTATCAGAAGAGCAACAAAATTCACAGTCAAACCGGTTAGTGTAGATAAAAGCCTGGTTGAAACTCGTACATTTGCTGTCCGATGAGTATCTGTCGAACCATCCTTTTTGACAATCATCTCTCTTAAAGTTTATCTACGTAAATTACCAATCAGAGGTCATATTCGAAAGTAGTCTTTACAGAGTGTGTCTCGCAGTTGAAATTTGAAGAATATGATGAAAATTTGCACAAGGACCCTGTTCGCACATAACATGCCGATTGTTACTTGAATCTTGAATCTTTTTATTTTACTTTATATCTTAATACATTTTTTACAGATTTTTTGAAACATTTTGGATCATCTGGAGGCATGCAGCTTTAAAAACAATAGAACATAATTCTATAAAAGCTCATAGTTTCAGTATTGACCCGTAACTTCGATCACATTTTCTTTAAAGCATCCACAGGCCAAAGTGTTTAAACGTAACATTCAAGTTCGATGTAGTCGGATTGTTTTAAGATCATTTTAGATGGATGTTAAAACTAAGACATGTTTCACAGGAAAAAGTAAATACCGTCTGTGCCTCGAAGCACTAAATTACATTTAGAAAAATTGTTTATAATGGTGAAAAACATGTGTACACGTCTATGTTCTGTATTCCCAGTACACAAATCTGAATATATTTATTTTCCAGTGTTTTGATATAGTCCATTGACTTTCGTATTGGTTTTCATGTTTATGTTTTTTTCTTGTTTTGTTTTGTTTGTTTTTATTATTATTATTATTATTATTATTGTTGTTATTCTTTTGCCTGATTATACGATTATACATGAACAAAGTAAGTTGATACAAGTGCTTTTCTTTCAAACTAGCGCACACTTATCTGAGATATTGCACTGAAACACGAAAGGGCGTATACCCCAATTGCCGAGTGTTTTGATGTTCTTTCTCTTTTGTTTCATAGGCCAAAATAAAAGCATGTTGATCTTAATATTTTTATGTTGTGTAACAAATTATTTATCATAATTTGTCACTTATTTATGTATATTATGTGGTTAAAAAAGTAAAAATAATTTATCCAACTGTACAAATAAATTGCTAAATATGGCTTAACAAAATTTGTAAAATATTAACTGGTTAAAACAAGGAGATAAAGTTAAAATGTAAAACTTGAAGAATCAATCAAAATAAGTTAATTAGTCCTAGTGACAAAACCTTACTTCTTTTAAAGATAATAATTTCAAGTTCACTTCATAGCAACTTAAAATTTATACTTCTTTTGTTAACTCTAAACCATTTAAACTTGTTGGAAGTTGTGTCTATTTGTATAGTCACACAAAAGTGGCGTGTTACAGTTAAATTTGTACTGTACTATACAAAATGTTATTTCTATATTTAAGAAAATCATAGCAGGTTTTTTCGAACAATCTTATCATTTGGTTAGGCGAAATAGGTGCAAAACTTTTCATGTTTTGACATTATAGTAAACGAATCACATGTATAGCAAGTGTAATCTAACTATGGTTTTACATAGGACATTCCTTTATAACATGTAGTTCATTTCCAATACCATCCCGACAACCTGCACATATTTTTTCATGAAAAATATGTAATCGGAGTACCTAGCACCTTTTTTCAGTGCTTATCGTGTGTATTGACCGTATAATCAAATCACAAATTAAAACCGTAGTAACAAAAATGATTCGTTGGTTAACTTAATAAACCACGTTTTATGGATGCCATTTATTTGATGGATTAACAAATTGGTTACAATTATCAGAAGCGCAACAAAATTCACAGTCAAACCGGTTCGTGTAGATAAAAGCCTGGTCGAAAGCCGTACACTTGTCGTCCGATGAGTATCTCTCGAACCATCCTTTTTGACAATCATCTCTCGTTCCACATCTATAAATGATATACCATGTATGCTTAATCTGTATATAGCTATGAATAAACAAGAACACTGCAAAGACTGTGAGCCCGAATGCAATTTTGTTGTAAGACCCATTGAGCCTCAGAGATTACTGCAATTTTTGAAGTCATTGGGTTTTTCTTAAAAAATGATTATAGTAAAAAAATATCCTCTCTGAAACCGCAAGTCCGAGAGCTAAGATATATGGTAAGGCAAGATTGTCTTGTAAGTCCCTAACAGGTTTTTCAAAATATAACCGGGCTAATTTTGTGCTTTTATGTATATTCAAGTAGGTAAAACTTAGCAGTTCTTCTGAAACTACACAGACTATAGCTTAGATATTTTTGCAAGAAACATTGTCTAGTTGCCCTTTTCAAGTTTGTTGAAACATTAGCCTAGGGTCAAAATTAGTCACCCTCTATGATCCGGGGCCAATCCAATGACCTTTTGTGGTATTTTAAGCCACAGCTATAAAATTAAATTAGTAAGATGTAAATTGAAGTTTGTTATCAGTTGACCTTAATATTGATCAAGCGACCTAATTTTTTTATTTTCGGATGTAGATTTACATTTTTTACATTAGTTGAATTAGATTTTTACTAAGTGGCATATTTTTGTAAATACAGTTACAGTAATGAAATTTGGACAATATGCACAATTTAAGATGCGGAATTGATCGTTTACATATATTTCATGCCTTTTGACTTTGTGAACTTTTTCTGCCTGCATGCCAGTCTTAAATCTGAACAGGGAATCTCTGAATATAAGAACAAATTTCATTGGTCATTTTAAAATTATAAAATTAAATCTGGGAATTGAAATAAAATGTAAAGGATAGTTCTTGACATTCTAAGATAGTTCTTAAATAAAATGTAAAGGACAGTTCTTGTAACTATAAAATAAAATGCAAAGGATTGTTCTTAAACTTTCAAGTTAAATTGCTAAGATATTAAAGTCCTGTTTAACAATACTTCCACAAAACATTTTACACTGCATTGTATTTACATTTTCTAGTGAACAGTAAGAACTTTTTTACACAAGATCTGAGTTTTAAATTTTGTTCAAAATAAAAAGAATAATTTCAGAACTTATCAGGTACCCTTTATTTATGATGTTCAATAAGTGTCTAAAATATCAAATATTATATTATTTTGATTATATTGTTAATAATTTTCATATATATTTTCGCATATTGATCAAGTACTATTTATAGTAGTATTTATAACAATAATTGCCTACCGACTGCATAAATTTTGGTGTTAGAAATTAAGTTCACTTATCGAAACACAACAGGTTCGTTTAGAATCGCATACATCTTGAAGTGTTCAATTTTTCAAGATTGATAACCCTAAAAGAAATTATAATGCCATTGTTATGCAAGCGATGCTTACATTTCTGTATGGCTTTGCATATAACATATGCAAGTTATCCAATTTAACTTCGGCCGAGTATTTTTTTAAAGATAGTTTTTGTTTTGTATTGAGATAATTGATTCCGGCACTTTTAAGTATTGAAAATCGTTACCGCTCAAGCCGGTTCTAGGGAGTATGAGGGATGATGCACTTTTTACTATCCCGCATGTACAGACTCAATCAAACCGGGTGTAATTTTGTTAGAATTAATGCTTCCGATTTTGTTCAATGATGTAATAAAACTTTGTCATGACATATAAATATATATATATATATATATATATATATATATATATATATATATATATATATATATATATATATATATATATATATATATATATATATATATATATACATTATGTGTACATACTTCATTTCAACGAGTCTTGATGCATTCCGGAAGTTTGTGAGTGTATTTATACAATACTGTTTCTCAAGAGGGCAGTCTGCTGGAAAATTCACATGTTCACATATCTGAGGTGGTCCTTGACACAGGAAACAGCTTCCTACAACAATGAAATTACGAAGGCCTTTAGGGACATAGTGACTTACAGACACACAAAATAGTTAAATGTGTTTGAAATTAATTAAAAGATATCCACATATATATGTGATAAATAGTAATTGCAGTCGTGTTTGAACTGAAAATATTTATCTATCCAATTTGCAAACATTATCTGGTGGTTGAAAATACTCCCGCCGTTTTCTTCACTCATACAAGTTTATAAAACTTTAAAAGCCATTTATCTCTAATTTTTGTTAATCACGCAGGTCCGGTTCAATTATTTTTGTTATAGTTATACCCCTTTTATGATTTTTATTTTTAAAGTTTGCCAGGACTACCGCTCTTAAACAACTGATGCAATTTCTTGAAAACTTTACAGCATTGATATGCAGTTCAAGTACAATCGCATACTACATGGGTTTTCCGGTTGAATGACTTTGGCCGAGTTAAGGCCCTTGAATACAAAAGGTATTTTTGTGTGTTGCTAGCTACAGAAAATCTTGTCCAGACAACCTCTTAGAAACAACTGGTCCAATTTCATCAAATGCGTCTAATTTGGTGAAAAGGCTAGAATTATTTCAGCCAACCAGGGCGTAAATCCATAAATGTTTTTTGTAATCTAATCTTAATAACCTCGCCATATGTCATTTAAAATAGTCACGATACTTTAAGAAATCTAAAAGGATTTGATACTCAGGGCTGGGCCAAATTGCATCATATTTTCATGATTTATTCAACTTTTATCCACTTGTCTATGATAAACGTTCAATGTCTAAGCTCACATGCCACTGTCACTGCTCGAGTGATCGATGGCGAAGCCAGTTTTGACACAGAGACATAATGTTTGCACAAGGTGATGCTTAATGCTAAGTATCTATACTCTAAGAAATGTAATTTTACAGAAGACGATTTTATAAGAAAGACCGCTGGGTACATTTCAACTTCATAAATTCCCGATTTCAGCTTCATGAATTCTCGATTTAAACTTCAAGAATTCACGATTTCAACTTCATGAATTCACGATTTCAACTTCACGAATGCACGATTTCAACATCATGAAATTGAAATCGTGAATTCTTGAATTAGAAATCGTAAATTCGTGAAGTTGTAATCGTGAATTCGTGAAGTTGAAATCGTGAAATCGTGAAGTTGAAATCGTGAATTCACGAAGTTGAATTCGTGAAGTTGAAATCGTGAATTCATGAAGTTGAAATCGTGAATCGTGAAGTCGAAATCGTGAGTTCATGAAGTTAAAATCGTGAATTCATGAAGTTGAAATCGTGAATTCATGAAGCTGAATCGTGAATTCGTGAATTCCGTATTTTGAAAACGGGAATTCATGAAGCTTAAATTGTGAATTCATGAAGTTGAAATGGTCCTACCGGTCTATCGTAGTTTTAAGATACGTTACAAGTATAGGTAAAACCCAGGTTAATTTCGATCCCTTCAGTATGATTTATAACAAATCGAATATTATAGATGATGCTAGATGGCACACATTTAAACACGGGGCAGTGTAGCTATTGGCGAGTAATATTTCAGAAATTTCATTTTTAAAGTCTAGTGTTAGCTCTTGTGAAATACCGCTGCATTTTACAAAAGCTAACAATAAAACATTTGTAGAAGGTCACCCCAAATTTTTTTGTTGAAGTTTTGTACAAATACGGTTCAAAAAAATGTTTTTTTTAAGAAACTGTTGATAACGACGCATAGCAGACAACAAACGATATGAGATCACGAAAGCTTACCTTGTACAAGGTAAACTAAAGGCCTCAACAGACGGTAGGATTTAGTTGTGCAACACTCATTAAAGATATGATGTACAATTTTAAAAGCAATTCAACACTTTAATTCTATATTGTATGATACATCAGCTGTCCCACACGAAAATGACCCCTTACAAATTTTCTCACTACCATTACTGGAATATGTGTAAATGTTATAACTATTGTTGACAACTTAAGAAGATTGATTAAGTGGTAGACCGTGGATAGCATGGCGGGAGCATTTCGGAAATTACCATGTTCTGCAATGAATAAAAACTGTGCAGCATAAAACCTGTTTGGTATTTTGCTTTCACGGTGATATCTTCATGAGTAATGCTGGAAAATACATTAGTCTGTATTTGTCACAGGGTGAGAATAATGTGCAGCCTGACGCGACTCAACCCCGGGACTCTCGGAATGTTGTAAGGCCACTCTACCGACTGAGCTATCCGGCTGCTTACATACTATCTTCCCTAGTGAACAGTCCAATACCGTGACATAATCATTTTCTGAGTAATTCGGGATTCGAACATGCCACAACTTGGGGTGTCCCCAAAAGTTTTTAAACAACCTTTTACCCCATCTAACTACCATGTTGATATATTAGCCCTAATTGTTCTTGAATTTTATTCATTAAACACATTATCACGGGATAATTGGGAAATATGTCACCTGTCATTGTGGGAGGTCTAAACAAACAAGAATTAAGAGATACCTGTTCTATCCTAGTTTTAAATTGTATGCATTCAAGAAATAGTACCCTTCACAAATAAATATTTCCTTGTCAATTTTTTGTTGTACTTCAAAATCTTATCGTATTTTGAGGCCTTAAAGCAAATTATTATTGCACCGTTTCAGGTCATTCTTTTAACGTAGTTAGTCAAATTACCGAATTTCAAAAAATCAAGAAATATTTATCAGTAGACTAACAGATATGAGATAATTAAGAGAAATGTCTTACTTGGTACGGTTGGTAGAAGTGTCGTTGTTGTAGTCGAGGTAGTAGGAGTTGATTTTGTTACTGAAACAAAGACATCAATTTAAAACTGAATGTTATTTGTGTTTATGAGATTAAACACGCCGCACTGAGGATAATAAATATAAATGTATCGTTCAGGATATTAGATAATAAAACGGGTCTTGTTAAACATGAATCACTAGATATATCTTACCCCTCCCCACCCCATGCTTAACCAGTCAAAGAAAAACTTCCTCTGATCACGTTATAAGATATTTTGAGAGTAAAATGTCAATAAATACAATGTATGATTATTTACATATTTAATATTAACTTCTAATTTCATTTTTCTAATAAATACACAAAATGCTAGTATTGAAATCTCATTACAATACATGTATTTTTTTGTAATTTAAAAAAAACAGTAATTACGTAATGTGTAAGGTTACATGCTTAAAAGCAATACCAAGCAAAGTCTCCACATAAAGCTATTATATACTAATTTACTATTTCAAATTTCAGTAACAATTACCTAACAATAATCCGGTGGGGATGAGTGTTGGTCGGAGAAAAGCAACATTATATAAACGTCTAGATACCCCGTGGCTTAATTAGTTCTCGGTCCCGTTTTATTCGTTATCTTTATTTATGATTTGTCAGAAGTTGTTCCATCACTTTCCTTTTCAGAATGGTAATGCAATAGTATGAAATAGAAGACTCTTCAAACGAAACAAGTAATCTAACTAAAGTTTCGATGAAGCTCACGGCATCACATTCGAGAAAAAAAACTAATGACCAACATATTTGAATGTTGTTAATCGCACTAAGACATTTAAACAATTCCAAATTTGAAGAACTTAATGTTAATGCGTGATTAATTTCGTATCCAAACGAGGCTACACAATATAAATACACCTACTGCAACTGCTTTTTGTACAAGAAACTACTTCTGAAGGATCCCCATCACAATATTTTCCCAGAGGCGAGGGTCGCGGGTTTGTGAAGGTACGTGATCTAGACTTTAAACCGTCCCTGCACGTCACTGAACAGGTGCTCCATTGTCCCCAGTTAGTCCAACCACCATCTTGAATACCAAATACCAATAACATAAATTCATTTGCACAAATTATTGTCCATAGTGAATGAACAATAATTCCATGTCAAACTTTGAAATTGTTATCATTGTCATAAGATTTAACTTCAACACATTTAGAAAATAACATTTTACTAGAAAAAAATGCATAATAATGCTTAATGGTACAACTTTGCTGTTCATCAAACACTTGAATGTAGGAAATAATCATAGTATAAATTAAAAAGTACATGTAACAAACCTTAAGGGCACGTAATTCAAAGTTTATAGCTATTTCTAGAGGTATTTGATTTTTACTAAGATATAAACAGCTTTTAATCGATAAATATCCATGCTAAAAAAACACACACACACACGCACGCAAGCACGCACACACACAAACACACACACAAAGATATGTTAATGATCTGAAGACAGTGAAACCTACTTGCACATGGACCCGGTAAGCATATCCTGACATCTAATGTGTCGCCGAAACATTGAAGCCCGTTCCTGTCTGGTATTGGGTTCGAGCAATTACGATGCCTCTTTTCTAGACCTACACCACAAGCGACAGAGCACGCGTCCCAACTTGACCAGATTGTCCATCCCCCATGAACTTAGATGGAAATTGTTGGCAGAATCGGTTTAAGCATATGTAAAAAGATGAATGATATGACAATGACAAAGAGTTTATTGATTCAATGCCTCTATCCGAGATAAAGTGTAATACTGTTGAAAACCTATGTATAAGATACAAACAATGAATAAATATTGACTTGACTAGAATAAGAACAATACAAAGACAAAAATACGACAACAGTAATTTAACGGGTTACCCAGATAAACCGATAAGGGGTTGTTTAGCTTTGAATTCACAGTGCCTACCATGAACAGGTTCGATTAACCAAACTTGCAATTTTTTCAATCTTGTCGTTTTGTACATTTTATGGGATTCTTTATTTCACTCTATTTGAAAAAAAAATACGTGAGATAAACTATTTACCTGGGCAAAGTTTTCTTGAGCATGATTTTGTAGTTATGTTAGAGCCGATACAGTCTATACCTCCATGTGCCGGGGCAGGATCCGAGCATGTTCTTGATCGAGTTTGAGTCCCGTTTTCACAGGTGACATCACAAGATGACCATGCAGACCAACTACCCCAATGTCCATCCACTGAATTATAACCAAGAAAGAAAACAATACAAAATAGTAATAAAAGAAAAAATATGTTGTTGTATGATTTCCGTTTCTGCTGAATTTATTTTTTTTGTATTCATTTTGGAATAGTTTTTTTTCCTAGCCCATGATATATATTTATATTTACATTAGATAACTTGTCATTGAGTGTTTCTATTTGATGCTGTTATAATCACTGCGGTTGATCACGTGACAAAAATCGTACAATGGGCTCATAACATGGCGGCCTGAACGCTCGGTAAAAGCAGTAAAATTGAAGTAAGCATACAGTTAACGTTAAATTTATATGTAAAACTAGGCCGCACGGAACCGCTGTATAAAAACCATGTACTGTTCTGTTTTTGTTTATTTTGTAGCTCTCTCTGTTTAGGGTTAAAAATGGAAAAAGTTGTTTTGGGTGATAAGTTCAATGGGCGAACAGGTACTAAAATGCGTTGTTTTCAGTATAAGAAACTCATTTTGATCAAAATTAGCAATGCCATCTTGTGCACAATTGTAAATTGTCCGTCATGAACAAATTCTATACTTTGTAAAGTTGCATAACGAAGATGTGCATCTTTTTAAAAAACGAGTACAATTGTCGAACCAAATTTAATGAGTACAATGGTCGAACGATTATATTGCCTGTCTTATTTGTCAATTTTTTCATTTAATTAGCTTATTTCTCCTTTCCTGTCTTTGAAATCATACAAATATAATATTTGATAGTGAAAATAAGGAAGAAGATTTTAATTAAATGAATCCAGTTTGCTTGCTATAAATTCTCATCTTAATAGTTGTCTCATTAGATTTTGGTGACATGCCCTTCTGATTGCAAAATTACAACTTTGTCCTTATTACATTCACTTAGCAAGTGCGAGTACAAAACTATTTTGCTGGCACATGTAAATATTAGTTTGACTTCTCAGGTTCATTTATCAAATCTGGTAAGCTTTCTGTGTCATATTGGGAAATATTGATGTGCACAGGTTCTCATTTATTGGAAGTTTTCTCCTAGTTTCGGTCATTGTAAGATGACAACTGTTAAAGGGACTCCAGTATATTTTTTCAATAGATGTTCCATTCGATGTATATCTAGACAAATAGATTAATTCAAATCATTTGCTCACTCCGTTTTTTCCAGAATAATTTTTGAAAATTGAAATGCGTTCCGACGCTTTTGTCTCATAACGGGCTAAAATAGCACAAGAAAACGATTTTTCATTTTTTCTTAAATATTTTCTTTTGCAAATATGTTTGTTAAAAATGCCCAAGCGCATCTATGTATGAAGTTTAAGGCTTCTGACCTCAGTGCAACGGAGAGTAGCCTGGGATTCAGGCGTTGATATTATTTGCTTATTAATAACATACGCACTATTTCATACTCAATCGTCATAGATAACACAACATCTCTGGTTTTGATAGTATAGCCGTGGATTCAGGCGTTGATATTATTTGCTTATTAATAACATACGCGCTATTTCATACTCACTCGTCATAGATAACACAACATCTCTGGTTTTGATAGTATCAACGCCTGGGGAAACCTGCGGGGTTTCCCATGTAATTATCGACTAATGATAATTCTCTTAATAGATTGATTAGCACGTGACCAACAAATTCAATACTAAATCGAAATCGAGGCAAAGATGATGAATGTTGAAAATTTGACGCCATTTACTATTATAAATTGCATCCAGAACAATTCTCTGAAGCTATTGTATTTCCCCAGGCTGTCGAT